TCCATATGAAGTTTAAGGTGTTTTTTTTCAGTTCTGTGAAAAAGGCCATTGGTAGCTTGATGGGGATAGCATTGAATCTATAAATAACTTTGGGTAGTCCGGCCATTTTCACAATATTGATTCTTCCTAACCATCAACATGGAATGTTTTCTCCATTTGTGTCCTCTCTTATTTCCTTGAGCAGTAGTTTGTAGTTCTTCTTGAAGAGGTCCTTTACATCCTTTATTAGTTGTATTCCTACGTGTTTATTCTCTTGTAGCAATTGCGAATGGGATTCGCTCTTCATTTGGCTCTCTGTTAGTCTCTTATAGGTATATAGGAATGTTTGTGATTTCTGCACATTGATTTTGTATCCTGACACTTTGCTGACATTGCTTATCGGTTTAAGGAGATTTTGGCTGAGATGATAGAGTCTTCTAAATATACAATCATGTCATCTGGAAATAGAGACTTCCTCCTTTCCTAATTGAATACCCTTTATTATTTTTTTTCTTGCCTAATGTCTCTGACTAGAACTTCCAATACTATATTGAATAGGAGTGGCGAGAGAGGGCATCCTTGTCTAGTGCCAGATTTCAAAGGGAATGCTTCCAGTTTTTGCCCATTCAGTATTATATTGGCTGTGGGTTTGTTGTAAATAGCTTTCATTATGTTGAGATGTGTTCCTTCGATTCCTAGTTTATTGAGAGTTGTTAGCATTAAGGGCTGTTGAGTTTTGTTGAAGGCCTTCTCTGCATCTATTGAGATAATCATGTGGTTTTTGTCTTTGGTTCCTTTATGTGGTGGATTACGTTTATAGACTTGCGTATGTTGAACCAGCGTTGCATCCCTGGGATGAAGCCTACTTGATGTGATGGGTAAGCTGTTTGATGTGCTGTTACAATCGGTTTCCCTGTATTTTATTGAGGATTTTTGCATCTATGTTCATCATGGATATTGGCCTGAAGTTTTCTTTTTTTGTTGAGTCTCTTCTGGGTTTTGGTATCAGGATGATGATGTTGGTCTCATAAAATGGTTTGGGAAGGATTCCCTCTTTTTGTATTGTTTAGAATGGTTTCAGCTCCTCTTTGTATGTCTAGTAGAATTCGGCTGTGAACCCATCTGGACCTGGACTTTTTTTGGTTGGTAGGCTATTAATTACTGCCTCAACTTCAGCCCTTGTTATTGGTCTATTCAAGGCTTCAACTTCTTCCTGGTTTAGGCTTCGGAGGATGCAAGTGTCCAGAAATTTATCCATTTCTTCAAGTTTTACTGGTTTATATGCATAGAGTTGTTTGTAGTAATCTCTGATGGTAGTTTGTATTTCTGTGGAATCGGTGGTAATATCCCCTTTGTCATTTTTTATTGCATCTATTTGATTCTTATTATGTGGTAGGTGCAATGTGGTGTTGAAAAGAATGTATAGTCTGTGGATTTGGGGTAGAGATTTCTGTAGATGTCTATTAGGTCCCCTTGGTCCATATCTGAGTTCAAGTCCTGGATATCCTTGTTAATTTTCTGTTTCATCGATCTGTCTGATATTAACAGCGGAGTGTTAAGGTCTCCCACTGTTATTGTGTGGGAGTCTAAGTCTCTTTGTAGGTCTTTAAGAACTAGCTTTTTGTATCTGGGTGCTCCTGTATTGGGTGCGTACATATTTAGGATCATTAGCTCTTCTTGTTGCCTTGATCCTTTTACCATTATGTAGTGCCCTTCTTTGTCTCTTTTGATCTTTGTTGGTTTAAAGTCTATTTTATCACAGACTAGGATCACAACTCCTGCCTTTTTTTGCTCTCCATTTGCTTGATAAATCTTCCTTTATCCCTTTAGTTTGAGCTGTGCTTGGTGTGAAACTTTCAATCCAGAGTGTTTCAGATTGCTTGTTTTGTGGGGGTGGTACCCACCGAGCCACATCACCTGGATCCCTGTCTCAGCCCCCTCCCTTTCAGTTGAATGGGCTGCTCTGTCTCCCAGGCGTTTCAGGTGCCAGTTGAAACTGCCGCCCAGATTTGTGTGAGTTTCTGGGCGCCAACCCGCAACACTGGCTGAAATAGCCTTGCTGGAAACTCCTGGCACTTTTCGGCCTGGGAACCTCTGGGTCTGTGGGCAGTGAAAACCCGTTTGGAAATGGGGTGATCACTTACCCTCTGCGTTGTTCTTGCTGGGAACTGCACTCTAGAGCTGTTCCTATTTGGCCATCTTGGATTCCATAGTTGAAGAGTTCTGTAGGAACCAGTCTTTCTTGTCCACTATGGCATTTCTTAAAGTCTGCTTTGACATACAAGTACACTGGGGTTATATCTTGATAGACCATTGCCTGATAGTATGGCCCTCCTTGTGCTAGGTGCAAATATACAAACATGAGTAACTCATTTTCCTAGGTCCCAAATCAGCTTCAGAAATAGTTCAGAAAAATACATCCACAATTATATTAAATAATACAGTAGTAGTTGTTATAATAGGTGATGTAAAATGTGCTACGCTATGAGAGTACAAAGAAGAGGATGTTAATTTTGCATTGAAGAATATCAAGACCGGGCTTGGTGGCCCATACCTGTAATCCTAGCACTTTGGCAGGCTGAGGCGGGGAGATTGCTTGATGCCAGGAGTTTGAGACCAGTCTGGCAGAATAATGAGATCCTGTCCTTACCAAAAAAAAAAAAAAAAAAATTAGCCAGGCATGGTGGCCTGTTCCTGTAGTCCTACCTCTTCAGGAGGCTGAGGCAGGAGAATCACTTGTGACAAGGTGTTTGAGGGCTGTAATGAGTTATGATTATGTTACAAGAAAGGGGTCCCAATCAAGACTCTAAGAGAAGGTTCTTGGGTTTGTGCAAGAAAGAATTCAGGGCAAGTCCATAGAGTAATGTGAAAGCAAGTTTATTAGGAAAGTGAAGTAATAAAAGAAAGGCTACTCCCTAGCCAGAGCATTCCCAAGAGCTGCTAGTTGCCCATATTTCTGGTTATTTTTTATTGTATTTTAAACAAGGGTTGGATTATTCATGCCTCCCCTTTTGACCATATGAGATCATTTCTTGACATTGCTGTGGAGTTTGTAAACTGGTGGGAGTGTAGCAAGGAGGACCACCAGAGACCACTCTAATGGCTATCTTGGTTTTCGTGGGTTTCAGCTGGCTTCTTTTCTGCAGACTGTTTTATTAACAAGGTCTTTATGATCTGTATCTTGTGCTGACTTCCTATTTCATCCTGTGGCTAAAAATGCCTTAACCTCTTAGGAATGCAGCCCAGTTGGTCTCAGTCTCATTTTACACAGCCCCTATTCAAGATGGAGTTGCTGTGGTTTACACACCTCTGACAATTGTGCCACTGCACCCCAGCCTGGGTGACAGAGCTAGACCCTGTCTCTAAAAATATGAAATAATAAATTATATATTGATGTTAATCAAACTCCTATATAAAAGATTTTGGTGGGATAAAGGACTTTAGAACACAGAGCAATGGCTCTTCTGTCAGTAATATTTTATTTGCTTATATTCCTTATTTTGATGATGCTGGTGGCCTAAGAGAACTGATGGATTTTCAAAAGATGTTGGCCTTTTATTGTTGACATATTCCTAAGATACAAAATCTTACTATCATTATTAATTATTATTATTTTGAAATGGAGTCTCACTCAGTTGCCCAGGCTGGTGTGCAGTGGCATGATCTTGGCTCACTGTACCTCCACCTCCTAGGTTCAAGCAATTCTCTACCTCAGCCTCCCGAGTAGATGTGATTACAGGTGCCCACCACTGTGCCTGGCTAATTTTTGTATTTTTAGTAGAGACGAAATTTCACCATCTTGGCCAGGCTGGTCTTGAATTCTTGACTTTGTGATGTACCCACCTTGGCCTCCCAAAGTTTTGGGATTACAGGTGTGAGCCACTGTGCCTGGCCTATTCTTATTTTTAAAAAGATATTTATGTCTCTTGATTAATTATAAACTTACTTTTTTTCAAAAATAATTTGAGACAAGATGCAGACATTCATCCAATATTTTACATATAGTACATGAAAGAAAAATAATCAAGATGAGGATGTAAGAAAGGAGAAAACCTTTCTCTATTCTCTTATGCTTAATGGTACCGCCAGGAATCAAACTGATAAAAGACAGTTTGATTAACTGTTTTTTTCTCTCCCGTTAACCAGGCTTGTTCCTGTAGTCCTACCCCTTGAGGAGGCTGAGGCAGGAGGATCACTTGTCACAAGGAGTTTGAGGGCTGCAGTGAGTTATGATCATGACACAGGAAAGGGGTCCTGATCCAGGCTCTAAGAGAAGGTTCTTGGATCTTGTGCAAGAAAGAATTCAGGGCAAGTCCATAGAGTAAAGTGAAAGCAAGTTTATTAGGAAAGCGAAGTAATAAAAGAAAGGCTACTCCATAGCCAGAGCAGCCCCAAGGGCTGCTGGTTGCCCATTTTTATGGTTATTTTTTATTGCATGCTAAACGAGGATTATTCCTGCCTCCCTTTTAGACCATATGAGGTCACTTCTTGACATTGCTGTGGAATTTGTAAATTGGTGGGAGTGCACAGATTAAATGTGTAAAAAAACAGATTTAATCTGTATGCACAGATTTCACAAAGAAATGTGAATCAAGGAGGTAGTTAGAATTAAGGCTTATATACCACCTTCACAAAGGGAGAGGACATATAGAGAAGAGGGTAGACAAAGGAAAAGGGGTTTGGGATTTCTGGGAAATCCTGGATTTGAGATGGTGACTTGGAAATGTAAGGTAAATAAGAATTATTGGCCAGGCGCGGTGGCTCATGCCTGTAATCTCAACATTTTTGGACGCCGAGGCTCGAGGATCAGGAGGTCAGGAGATGGAGACCTTTCTGGCTATTATGGTGAAACCCCATCTCTACTAAAAATACATACACACACACAAATTAGCCTGCCATGGTGGTGTGCACCTGTAGTTCCAGCTACTTAGGAGGCTGAGGCAGGGGAATTGCTTGAATCTGGGAGGCATAGATTGCAGTGAGCTAAGATTGCTCTACTACACTCTAGCTTGGCAACAGAGCAAAACTCTGCCTCAAAAAACCAAAAAGAATTATTACGTTTGTTATAGAGATTAAGAGTCATTTTCCTCTTCCTGGTATAGGAAATGGAAATTATCAAATGGAAGTTCCTTTAACCTTTACAGAGGGAGATTTATGTTCTGCTTAGAAAAAGGGAGAGCAGTGAACTAATTGCCTTCAACTCAAAAAATCCTTATGTCAAAGGATATTTTGAAGTGTCATACTCTTATTTTTTTCAGAGAGAAAAGAAAGTTAGAATAAGATATGAGGTTAGTAATATTAATTTTTTTTAGGTGGACCATAAATTTGATTGTATACTTCTTATAGGTCAGGGCAAAGAAGTAAATCCAGCTGCATCAAATTATTTTTATAATGAGGCAGCTTATTAAGAAATTAATTGCCAGATACCTAAATGTGGAAAAAATGTCAATTTAAAGCTTTATAATGTTTCCACAATCTGTTGTCTAGATGAACTATTTCAACCTCACAACAACTCTCTGAGGTAGGTGCTGTTCTTTTCTTCATCTTACAGAAAAAAAACTGGCATAGAGAGGTTAGACAATTTCCCTGAGGTCAGTTAGTTAATTAGTAGTAAAAATGGGGTTTGATCCCAGATAAAATAGTCTATACTCTTAACCACTTTGTTACATGGTAGGAGTTAACTGGAGAAGAGAATGGGAAAGATCATTTCAGGCAGTAGGAACCCATGTGTAAGTGCCCTAAGGCAGGAAGCCAGAAGGAAGATCAGTGTGGCTGAAAGCTGGTAAACTAAGATAAAATAACATAGATGAAGCTAGAGAGGGAGTTCCATATTCAGACTTCTTATTATTTTATCACTTGGGCTTTAGTGTGAAAATATGTTGGAAAGAAATAGGAGTTAATATGAGAAGATCAGTAAAAGATTGTTGTAGTTATCTAATGAGATGATGTTGGCTGGGCCCAGATTGTGGCAGATGGAGCAAACTATATAGATTCTAGAAATATTTGAGACATAAAAATAGCAGGACCCTTTGTTTATTTGGATTTAAGAAGGGAAGATTACTGTTTAGTTTCTAGCTAGAGTAATTTGCTGGATGGTGATTTCATTTACTGAAATAGTTTTAAAGGAGACAGACTTGAAAAGCAAATATTAAGTTCAGTTTTGGTTTTCTTGAGTTTCGGGTAACTTTAATATTAAAAGCCTGCAGTTCAGAAGAGAGTTTTGGGCTTGTGATAAAATTTGAGAATTTTTCAGCCTTGGGAGAGATGAGAAAACAGTAAGAAGACCCAGAATTAAAGGTGGAGAAACTGGCAGCATTTCAATTTGGGTAGAAGAAGTAAAGATTTACAGAGGATACTGAGGGGAGGGAGCCAGATAAGTATAAGGAAAATGGACAAAATGTGGTAAGATGAAAAGCAAAGGAATGCAGCTTTTTTCTTTTTGGTTTTCTGATAATGTTACCTGTATTTTTCTTCTGGAATTTCACTGTTGTACTAAATTGCATGGAGCTCAACTTTGCATACTCTTTTCTTTATTGAGTAAAGAATTTGACTTTTCATTTCATGGTTTTCTTTCCTTTTTCTTTTTTTCTCAATACATGTTCTTTTAAATTTAATTTTCTTTAAATTCTTGTTAATTATTCCTGTTCAACTCTCTCTCTAGCTTCATCATTTGCTATTTCATTTTTGTCCTGTTCCTCTACAATTGGAGTCTTTTATCTGAAAATGATGGTTTTCATTTACAGCATTTTTAATTTTTGTGTTTAGATTATTCTGTATAATCCTATTTCACTAGACAGAGTAAACTTAGATATGATCCGAGATAGTACTTTGCTCCTGCACTTGACATGTCTGCCTGTACACAATTGTCCATCTCTACTTTCCCATTCAAGGCCATGTCTTGATCCAGTCATTACTGAATTGTTTTATATACTAGATTTCCTACTCCGAACTTCCTGTTTCCCATCTTCTGCTGTCTCTTTTTTCTACCTTGTCTCCTTTTTCATGTTTACCAAACCTTCTTTTTATGGTTATTATTATTTCTAGTTTCTTTGTACCTTTACATTATCGAGTCTCAGTCTATCATTGTGTTTTGTGTTAAACTTCTTTCTTATCTTACTTAGAATGCATTTTGCATAGATACTGACAACACTCCAACTTCTTTTGAACCAAACTCCTGAAATAACCTTGTCAAATCCCCAAAACCTTTGAAACCCAGTTGCACTGTTTTTTTGTTCCCCTTAGATTCATTATCAAACATCATGTTAGTGACTTGGGATAATGGATGAGGCAAAAAAAAAAAGAAGTATGGACCACCCTTAGAACTGTGTCATCTTGTTCTGAGACAGTTCATCTGATGGAAAATAAAAATGGCATCATAATGTTGATCATGTTCACCACTGTTTTATATTATTTAATCTCAGCAGGCCCTATGTGTTACAAACTACAGTTGACCCTTAAACAACATGGGTTAGCACTGCACACATCCACTTAAATATGCAGATTTTTTTCAATTAATATATTGGAAAGATTTTTAGACATTTTTGACAATTTGGAAAAAAACTCATGGATGAACCATGTAGCCTAGAAATGTAGAAAAAAATAAGAAAAAAGGTGTCATGAATACATATAATATATGTAGATATTATTCTATTTATGTGTTATCAGTAAGGCTTCCAGTCAAGAATAGGCAATTAGTAGTTAAGTTTTTGGGGGTGTCAAAAGTTATAGGTGATTTTCGACTGTGTAGAGGGTTGGCACCCTTAACAACCTTCTGCTTTGTTCAAAGGTCAACAATAATTCTAGGTTGATTTTCTTTCTCTATGGTTATGATTCAGAACATTTCTTTCTTCAAGTTTCAGAATGTAATTTAAAAGATCTGTGTTTAAAACCAGACTGTCAAGCAATCTGTACCTAGTCTCCATACTTTCCCATTCTTTCAAAATTTCTTTATATATTCATCTAATCTTTTACTTATTTCTTCCAATCTGTGTCAGAAGAAGGATAAATTATTTTTTCCCCAAGGGCAGTCTTTCCACCTGTTTTTCTTGATGTACATAAGAAAAAGTCTAGAGGAAAAAAAAATGCAAGATAAAAAAATAGTTGTTTTATTAGATGTTTATTATCCTATGTAGTTGGTAATAATATAGTTAATATAGAGTTTTAAAGGCACTTTTAAAATATTGTGTGTGTTATATGTTAGTATCATCAGTAGTGTATATTATTTTGTTCTTAACATGTTGTATTGATAGAATATAACAAGGGTTTGCTTTATTTTACTTAGAACGACTAGTGGTTGTGGCTGAACATTGTGAACGCAGTCTGGAAGACTTGCTTCGAGAAAGGAAACCTGTGAGGTACTGTACAGTATCAAAACAATTAAATGAAAAGCAGAACATGACAAATAAAAAGGCATTTTGTTTCAACTGCAGGGTTATGGTTTCTTTTGTTACTTGTTTAATGATAAATGTAGGTGAAAATTTTCATTTGAGGAAATTTAATTCACAGATTACATATGAATTCAATGTTAACATAGTTCAGTGTTCGTCTTTTGTGAGGTAGACATTCTCTGAAATATTTGACAAAAAATTATTCAAAAAAGGATAGATGAAAATTTGAAACTTTCTTAGTACTAAGCATTTCACTAGCTGGAATTAAGATTATTTTCCTGTATTTTTAGTAGAGACAGGATTTCACTATGTTAGCCAGGCTGATCTCGTACTCCTGACCTCATGATCTGCCCATCTCGGCCTCCCAAAGTGCTGGGATTACAGGCATGAGCCACAGTGCCAGGCATGGTGGCGTGCATCTGTAGTCCCAGCTACTTGTGAGGGTGAGGCAGGAGAGTCACTTGAACCCAGGAGGCAGAGGTTGTGGTGAGCCAAGATCACACCACTGCACTCCAGCCTCAGCCAAAGAGCGAGACTCAGTCTCAAACAAAAAGATTATTTTCCTGAAAGGAGCACATGGTCACTTCAGATCGGATACTTGTATTCCTAGGGACACAGTGAACTGTGTTAAATAAAGGTCACATTGAAGAGTAGGGACAAATATTAATCATGTCTTGGGTAGAATTTAATTAAGGATGCAGTTTAAATGCAATTATTTCTAGGACTCAATAAATTTACTCTTTTGGCAAGGAAAGTATGTCTTCTAAACTTTTATTACAAATATACTATTAAATGAACTTTATTAAAAATATAGTATTAAATGAACTTTACGATTTTCTGAAGTAACCTTAAAATTATCAAAAATCTTTCTTTATGTATAAATCAAGTAGTATTAAACCAATAAAATATCTATCTTTCCATGAGTGTGTATAGAATTAGAATCATCCATCCTCGTTTTGAAAAATATTGTTACTCTGATTGGTTAATAGTTTTCCATCACCACAATATTCTAGATGAAAAACCTTTTTCAAGGGAAGAAAAATGTTTATCCAAATAAATGGTAATAATTTGATAGAAGCAAAACAAATAAATTGAATAAAAATGCTATTATTGCTCTTTTAAATGATTTGGTTTTGGGTGGCAGCTGGAATGAAAAATGCAGATACCATGTACATACTAGCAGTCCCCAACCTTTTGGCACCAAGGACCGGTTTTGTGGAAGATAGCTTTTCCACGGATGGAGGGTGGAGGGATAATTTCAGGATGATTCAAGTGCATTACCTTTATTGTGTACATTATTTCTATTATTATATTGTAATATATAATGAAGTAATTATACAACTCACTATAATGTAGAATCAGTGGGAGCCCTGAACTTGCTTTCCTGCAACTAGAAGGTTCTATCTGGTGGCGATGGGAAACAGTGACACCGAAAGTGTGTTGCTAATGTCTAGTCGGCTCCGTAATCTCGTTTTGGTTGCTGTCACTACAGAAAACCCTGTTTCACAAAGATAGGATGTTGGAAATAGAAGCAGGCTTTTAGTGCTTTTGTGGCAATCTCAGGATATTCTGTCTTGACTTTAATCTAGATTGTATGGAGATTTGACATCGTCTCGTTGATCCTCTTCTAGCACAGTAGAAATCAATTCACCCACAAATGGGTTGCGGATCCATTCCTTCCCGGTTCAGGGGTCCTTTGTGGTTGGGAAGTAATGGTCAAACTCTTTTGAAAGCTGAGATAGGTGATCAGGCACAATTTGGGAGAAAGAAGGCCCTGGCTCAGTCTCTTTCAAAATTTCTGCTAATGTTTGAAGCATGACAGAAATCCCAGTGTTCACTCATCACCTCTGTAATTCCAGTTTGTCTTTGAATACAGCCACTTTATCTGCAGACTTGAACACAGTTATTCTCCCCTGCAGTGACAGATTGAGTTCGTTGAGCAGGTTGAATAAGTCACACAAGGAAGCAAGCTTTGTGACCCATTCTGTGTCACCGAAATGTGCTGTCAGTGGTGACTGTTTATCTAAAAGAAATCTCTGGAGGACCTCTTGTAACACAAAACTCTAGCTAGTGATCCACCTTTAGAAAGCCATCTACTTTTGTGTTTAAGAGAAACACATTTACTCTGTGTTCATCTCCTGACAGAGCTGCGTGAACAGGTGTGAGTTATGGGCATATATTTCAATTAGGTTTATAATTTTAATCATATCCTGCAAAATGTTGTTAAGTTCAGGTGACATGTTTCAGCTAGCCAGCATTTCTCTGTGGATGATGCAGTGCGTAGACTCACATTTAGAAACAACCTCTTTGACCTGAGTAGTGAAACCAGAAAGCTGTCCAGTCATGGCAGCCACTATGTCTGTACATATACCGACATACAGTGACCAATTCAATATTTCTCATACGTAATCATTCAAAGACTTAAATAGTTCTGCAGCTGTGGTGTTAGTTGGCAACAAAAGTGCACATAACATATCCTCATGCACATCCTCCTGAAAAATATATTGCACAAAAGCAAGTGTTGTTGCATTGTTGTCAACATTGGTAGACTCATCAACCTGGATTGTGTACCATGATGACTCATTAATTCTAACAACTGTGCCTCAATATCCTCTGTTATTTCATTGGTTTGTCTAGTCATGGTGGTAGCTGAAAGAGAAACACATGCCACCCTTTGAACTGCAGTCTCCTAAAAGTTCATGACAGATGTCCTTAGCAGCAGACAGGATCAACTCATCACCGATAGTAAAGGGCTTCTTAGCTTTAGCTATGTGGTTATAATACTCGTAAGTGCTAAGAATGATGCTCGTAGTGCCAACACATTTGTTGAAGTTGTGGCCTTCAGTAATTACTTTTGTTCTTTGTGTTCATGTTTTTTTTTTTTTTTTTTTTTTTTTTTCTTATTTTTTTTTTTTTTTTTTTTTTTTTTTTTTTTTTTTTTTTTTTTTTTTTTTTTTTTTTTTTAAACTCCAAAGACTTGTTTTTTTAATACAGGCTGCTGATTCTCCATGTGGCAAAGCAGTTTTGAAGGTTTCATGTCTTCATTGGATAGCTGGTTGCCACATACTATACAAAACAGACTTGGAAAATGTAAATCACCTGTTGCATTGGACCTATAATTTAAATAGGACTCTTGGTATTTTCTTTTAAATGAAGGTTTCTTTTTGTTGGCAGTCTTAGAGTCTTCTCCTGACTCATCATCGGGTCTTTCCCCCTTTTTAAAGAAGGTTTCCAGTGACATTTGTTTTTTACTCATTTTGGCTAGGTGTTAGCTTATGGGCTTACCAAAACTGTGACTGAGAAAGTTGTGTAATGCGGGAAGGAGGCACAGAGGGAAGTGATAAATAAAATAATGGGCAGGCCATGTGCAGACTAAAATAAATGTTGGATTCTGACTTAAAGCCTGCCACCAGATGCAGCTGTACAATTGAAGTATATCAACTCACTTGCCACTCTAGAGCATGCAACCAGATGCAGCTTAATTGTCACTTGCCTCTCACTGATAGGGTTCTGATATAAGCCCACAAGCAATTGATTTATTATGGACTCTGTGCAGTCAAACCTCTCAATCTGTATTTGCAGCCACTCCCCAGCACTAGCATTACCACCTCAGCTCTACCTCAGATGATCAAGCATTAGTTTCTCATAAGAAGCCTGCAACCTCGATCCCTCACATGCATGGTTCACAGTAGGGTTCGTGCTCCTATGAGAATCAATGCTGCTGCTGATCTGACAGGAGGCAAAGAGCTCAGGTGGTAATGTGAGCAATGGCGAGTGACTGTAAATACAGATGGAGCTTCGCTGGCTTCCCTGCCTCTCAACTCTTACTGTGCAGTCCTAGGTACAGGGGCCAGGACTTGTCTGTGGCCTGGGGGTTGGGAACCTCTGATGTACACCATAGCCTTACATCTTCCTTAGAAAAGTCTAATCTGACTGTAGGTAAGAAAAATAACTTTTACATGTATTTCGAAGTAGTTTAACTTTATTTAGTAAGTGTGGTTTTTAGTTATAATTTTGTAATATCACTAATCTTTGATTTTCATTTAAAATAATATATTACTCCTTGCTCACTCGTTCAAATTTACAATTTAACTTTAGGCCCCTACGGCAAAAAAACAAACAAACAAACAAACAAAAACATTAAAATTGAAAACCAATTGTACCCACAACTTTGGGTAAGAAAAAAATATTTTAGTTGAGCCTGGGTTAGATTTATTTAAAAATTTACAATGCAATATGTGTGATGAAAAAGCCATAACTAGTTAGGCAGCCTTGGACAAGTATCTTAATCATTTTCCTGTAACACAACGAGTTTTACTGATCAAGAGACCATTGTAGTACAAGTTATTCTCAACTTAATGTTTAATATGCATCATATCTGATAATATATTGATCACTTGTCTTTTTTTGAGACAGAGTCACCCTCTGTTGCCCAGGTTGGAGTGCAGTGGCAGGATCTCAGCTTACTGCAACTTCTGCCTCCGGGGTTCAACCGATTCTTCTGCCTCAGCCTCCCGAGCAGCTGGGACTACAGGCGTGTGCCACCATGCCTGGCTAATTTTTCTATTTTTAGTAGAGACCAGGCTTCACCGTATTGGCTAGGCTGGTCTCAAACTCCTGACCTTGTGATCCACCTGCCTTGGCCTCCCAAAGTGCTGGGATTATAGGCATGAGCCACCACAGCTGGCCAATCAATTGTCTTTATAAGTATAATTTGTTATATTTTCATAGGCTAATATATTAACCTGCTATTGCTCTTTATTTAAATGGTAGCTTTCTTGACAGAACCACCTGTGGCAAGTGTGCATTTAAAATTTCAGTGCTATGAAAAAGACTAAATTATTATAGAAACATCTATTTTATGATCCAGCAATTCCAGTCCTTGGTGCAAGGCCTCCTTAAATTTTGTACTATAGTAGTTTATTTGCCTCACGCAAGTCCCAGATCTGTCTAGGTATTTATCCAAG